GCCTGGAGATTTTCTCTCATATTTTTTAAATTAAAGTTTCATAGTTTCACATTTTATATTTTAGTCTGTGATTCATTTGAGTTAATTTCTGTACTAGGTGTGAAGTTTTTGGGGTGCATAATATGTGAGGTTTAAGATTCTTCCTCTCCTCCTCCTCCTCTTGATTCATGGATATCCATAGACAAAATGTCTATGCTTTCCAGCACCATTTGTTGAACAGACCATCCCTCTCCCATTGAATTGCTTTTGTCTATTTTGTCAGAAATTAATTGGGCATATTTGTGCAGGTTTATATCTGGGTTTTCTACTATGTTTCATTGATCTGTAGGTTTTCATAGTTTTTTAGTGAGAATCCTATTCTCATAGAATTCCTAGTTCTATTCCTAGTTTGCTGAGAGTTTTTTTTTTAATCATTAATAGGTTTTGGATTTTGTTAATCATATTTTTATCAATTGATATGATCGTATGATTTTCTTCTTTAGCTTAATATAATGGATTATGTTGATTAATTTTTGAATATTTAATAAGCCTTGCAAGCTGGAATAAATCCCACTTGACCCTAGTGTATTATTCTTTTTATACATTGCTATATTTAATTTGATAATATTTTGTTAAGAATTTTTGCATCTCAATTGATGAGACATACTAGTCTGTAATTTCTTTTTTAATTGTCTTTGTCTGGTTTTGGTGTCAGGGTGAAATAGGTCTCATGAAATGAGTTGGGAAGTGTTTCCTCTTATCTGTTTTCTGGAAAAGAATATTGTGTTTTTTATTCGTCTTTTCCAAGATTAATGTTTTTCTGGAGAACCAAACCTAGGGTATTTAGGGAAAGAGGGGCCAAGCTTGTACATTCCTTTTTCATGTCCAGTGTGTTCCCCTCTGGAGTCCACTATGCATTAGTCAGAGTGGAAAGTTCAGTCTAGGAGATTCCAAATGTGGAGGAAATGTGACTTCCCACTCACTGGTATTTTAAGAAGCACTAAAGAAAGATTAGAGATTAGCACTTGCATAAGCAGCTAAAGGACAGCTAAATTTTTAATTACTTTCTAATTACTTAGCACCTGCACTCTACTTTCCAATATATAATTAATAATACTTTTCCATCTGTCAGAAGGGATCAAGAACCAAAAGTTATAGAGCTATGGAATACAGATTTTAAAAAATCATTTTATTATACTTAGTTGTAAAATTTGCATACAGTAGAGCTTACTCCTTGTGATGGACATAGGGGTTTTGACAAATGCATCGAGATGTATATCTACCACTATGATGAGGATTCCAAATAATTCCATCACTGCTCATAAAATTTCTCGAATTTTCTCTTTGGAGTCAACTTCTCCACTCAATCACAGTCCCTAGCAACAAGTGATCTATTCTCCAACCCTACAGTTTAGGCTTGCCAGAATGTAACAAATGAAGTCAAACAGTATACTGCCTTTTGACTGTGGATTTTTTCATTTAGTAAAATGTTTCTGTGATTTATTTATGTTATTGAATGTATCAATATTGAGGTTCGCATTAGCTTTCTTTCTTGCTTCTGTGAAAGCTTAGAGTGTTCAACACACCAAAGTTCTTTCGGAGGAATTCCTTTGAGATTGGTCACTTTGCTTATAGTCATATAGCCTGATTACCTGGTTGATAAGATGAGAGATAAACTGACCAGAAATCAGCCCTCACTAGACTAACCAATGAGCTATGAAGGTATCTGGTAAAACTGCTCTGTCCAACAGAGGCAGTGTGTATTGGTTGTTGCTTGCCCAGCCTACACCAATCCCCTGGGAGTCAGTAGGAGTCAGAGTAGTAGATACAGGAAGAGCAGCCACTTCAAACAGGGAACAGTGGATGAATCCCTGATCCAAGATGATGACCAGACCCTTAGAATCTCATAGTACCTTGAACAATGTTTCATTCTCCACCAAGCCTTGATGAAGGTGGTTGAGTTTATCTTCCATTTTTCTTTTCAGATAGTCTAAAATTCTTTCTTTTATCTTTTTTTTTGTTTCAAAAATTTTCCTTAGTCATCCTTTTAGAGTAGGTCTTCTGATTATAGATTCTCTTAGTCTTCCTTTGTCTGAAGATGTCATTAATTTCCCCTTATTCCGAATGATAAATTCACATGACATAGAAGTCAGGGTTGACAGTTCTTTTTCTCAGGACACGAAAAATATACCCTATCCTTCTAGTCCCCCTGGTTTCTAATGGGACATCTGCTGTCAGTTGAGTTATTTTTCTTACAGATAAGGTGTTGTTTCTCTTTCACTGCTTTCTAATTTTTTTCTTTGTCTTTAGTTTTCTGAAGTTTAGCCGTGGTGTATTTTGGTGTAGACTTCTTTGAGTTTTTCCCATTGGGATTTTCCACCTTCTTGATTACACAATTATGTCCTGCACTACATTTGGAAAATTTTTAGCCATTATTTCTTCAAGTACTTTTTAAGCTTCACGTCTTTTCTCCTTTCCTTCTGAGATGCTGATGACATAAATATTAGGTCCTTTAGTCTCTCAGATCTGTGAGATTCTATTCATTTTTTTTGTGGTGGGTGGGTTTATTTTCTGTCTTTTGTTCAGACTGGGTAATTTCTATTGTTCTATCTTCAAGTTCACTGATTCTTTCCTCTTTATTCTCCATTCTGTTTTTGAACCCATCCATTGAGTTCTTTATGTTGGTTATTCTATTTTTCAGCTCTAAGATCTTTATTTCATGCTTTTTTACATGCTGTGTTATGTCTGAATGGAGGTGAAATTTCCCACTCGGGCTTCTTTGGTACCAGTCTGGTAGAGAGAAGAAGGTGGCCTTGTTAGGACTGGTTGGAGGTGAAAGCCCAAGATCCCAATGTGGCTTTCTCTGATGCTACTCAGCTAGGGTGGGAGAAAGTCACCCCGCGGTAGCTGAATCAAGATGAAAGTCTTGGCTCTCCACTCAGCTTTTGCTGAGTCATGTCATGTTTTTTTCCATGGTATTTGACTGGAGTAGGGTGGTTTTTGTTTAAATGTTTTCTGTCTTGCTAGTTTGCTACTCTCCTGGTCACTTGTCTGGGGAGGTTTTTTGTTTTTTCACTCCTCTTGGTGCTTTTGGGTTACTGTCTTTTCCTGCATCTACATCAGGATATATAAAACAAAAAGAAAATTCAGGAAACTTACTGCCATATTGTTCCTTGCATCTACAGCCTCTATTTGTTTTTTCTTCTCTCAAATATTTTGAAATATTCCATGTTTCTTTCATATATTATATCCAGGATTTTTAGTTGTACTTAGCAAGAGGCATGAGAGGATATGTGTCTACTTTACTTGGTCCAAAACAAGAAGGAACGTAGATTTTTAAGACTGTAGAGTAATTTAAGAATTTTCTAATTCTAAACCCCTGAGAACCATATTAGAGTGGCTTTAGGAGAATTTTTCAAACTATACACCTAGACTTTCTCCCTACCCCAACCTCTCACTCTTCTCTCTCCTGGATTTCCTTTGGAGGAAGACGACTTATGGCACAACCACCCCCATATTCAACATTGAGAATCGCAAGATTATCTTTCTCAAGTGTAGTGGGATGGAAAAAAATTGAGGACCTTGACACTCTAAATCATTCATTTTACATATGAGGAAACTGAAACTCAGAGAGGTGACAGTTTTTCCATATAACAGATAAATGGTAAACCCAAGCCTGCATATGGGTCTAGTACAGCACTTTTCAAACATTAATATGCAAACACATCACCTTGGACCTTGTTAAAATGCGGATTCTGATTCAGTAAGTATGGAGCAGGGCTGAGATCCTGCATTTTTAACAAGTGCACAGATGGTGTTGCTGCTGCTGCACTTTGAGTAACAACATTCTAGAACATTCACTCAGCTTATGGCACTTTCCACTGTCCTTAAAATTTGTATTCTTTCATCAAGAAAATTGAGAATATGTAAAAGTTTGACAGATAAGCATCTAAACATTCACGTGCCTAGTATGTAACAGTAAAGGAAGATGTGAATGATAATGGAGATACAGAGGAGGGAGTAGAAGTACCCATCCAGAGACCAAACACTTTCCTGGCTTTGCAAGGTATTCGTTGCCTTCAAAACTCAGAGGAATCTTGGTAAAGACCATGGGAGAGCATATGAATGACTCTTGAGCTGTTTAGTTGCTCATGTAATTTGCTTAGGGCTGCAAGTTAAGAATCTCTCCCTGTCTAGAAAGGATAAATTGACCTTTTTCTATAATTTTACGGAGTGTAATTCTCTAATAGGTAACAACTGGGGAAAGAACACTGAAATTCACTGGTAAGGCATGGAAGTGATGGAAGTGACCAGCAAACAGACATCTTGGTCCATGTCTGCTTTGATATAGTATAGTACAAAGACAATGGAATATACAAGGTGTTTCCAGACTTGGGCCCTATTCTTGGCTCCACTATTAATTTTATTTGCAGCCTTGAATACATCATTTAATCTTTCTATGATAAATTTATCAAAATAACTTACTGATAACTAGCGTATCTGTTGAGACCTATTTAGTATTAATTAATTAATTATCAATTAAGTAATACTAATTAAGTATTAATTAATACTTAAGTATTAATCTATTAATAATTAATACTAGTGGCTCAATATAATAGGAAGACCGAGTCAAGGAGTCTCAGTAAATTGGATTGTTCCCCAGACTCTACACCCTGAAACATTTAGGTACGAAAGATCTAGCAATCGATTCTCAAATGAGTGTCCTCAGTTAACAATTCCTAGCTGTCATATGGGCCCTTTCTCTGTCAGATATCACCGAATTTGAGCTCAGTTTTGACTCTGAGGTTCCATCTCTCTGAGGAAATACACACAATACCAGTTAGGGAGAGATACTGTGTGTTTCCCAATGTCACTGCCCGCATGTTCGATGTCCCCACTATAGCAGGGGGCACTGTGGCTCCCTCTCTTCTCTCCAGTTACCTAGAGCCCCATAAGAATTATGTCCCTGTGTATGTGTGTGGGTTGATTGTGCACATCGGTGTGTGTTTGTCAGGGAAAGGGAAGAAATGGGAGTAGCAAAAACTAAAGGTGAGAATTAAAAGAAGATATTGAATCACAAACTGAAATTGACCCTTGGATATCAACACTTTTTGTGTTTTTGTGAATACAATACCTGTTTATTGACTAGAGTGAACCTAAGTCAGTTTTGAAAGGGCCTCTAATTATCAAAAACCTCCTAAGCCTGTCCCAGCCTCACCCCGTGTTCTTCTAACTTCTTTGCACCTGGGTTGCTGTTCTGAGCTTATGACGGTGAGATTAGGCAGCATGAGGGTATTACAGAGAGATAAGTCAGGATGCAAAGATCCTTTTGTCTTTTGCAAAGAAGGCAGTGGGGCAGCTGATAGGAACAGCATTCAGCTCCGTGAGTATTTCTGAACTTCTGGTGAATTTGAGCAGAGTAATTGAAGGGCTTTGGGGGGTTGATCAGGCTCCAAAGGAAAAATTGGAGAAGAAAACATGTTGGACCTGTGGGCCTGGGCTGTGGCTGGGGATGAAAATGGGAAAGAACATGAAGGAGATACACTCAGACCTTCTTGTTATGCCATGGGACAAGCAAATAAGTGAAAGTTGACTATTACAAGGTCACTGCAAAACTTGACTACTGAATTCATTTAGAAGGAGCCCAATAGTGACCTCCCTGTTCGCAGCTTCATAGCAAACAGTATTGTGAAGACGGAGGGATCTGTGGCACTAAATAACCACAGAGAAAACAGTTCTTTACTCCAAGGATGTGCTTGCAAACTTGGCCCAGGCAATGGTAGGCTGGTGTGAGTGTGAGGAAAAGGAGAAGGGGAGCGGAGAGCGAGCGTGAGAATGACCGCAGGGCAGTGCAGGTGGCTGAGCCTTCTCCCTTTGAGGTCAAAGTGTTTGTTTGTTCCATTCTGAAGCAGGGTGTGCGCTGGATTTTTGGTAATTTTTTTTTTTTATGGCTTTGGTTTGGGTCTTGCTTTGCTTTTCAAATTATTGATTTTCTCTGCCTCAGCAGGACCCCGGGTGATATGTATTGGCGCAACCCCAACAGTACTTCTCTTTCTAGCTCCTTCCAGCCTCTTCCTTAGTACACCAACAATGGACTTGTCTGTTTGTCTATATCTTTGCTGAGAAACAGAGAATTGGAAGGGTAAGGTGGTAACAGCAGCATCAGAGAGACTGTCTCAGGAACCTTCTAAAACTGCTTTTCAGAGGATCATCCCCTGTCACTATATACAGCTGGGCTTTGCTGTATAAAGCAACACAAGATGATTTTTTGCTTTATACAAATCTTTAATTTTGTTAAGGTGACCCTAACCCCAGTCCCCTACAAAAGTATGCCTTGACATATTACTTTGCCGCATCCACTTATTTCTGCAGAGAAACAGTTTGTAATCTTCAAAAGGGGAAGGGCTAACGTTGCTTTAAAAACAGGAAAATGTTCTGCCTCACAAAAGAATAAATTGCTTGATGCTTTTGGAGGAAAAAAATGTGAAACTTCTTTCAGCTAAAATCAAGTCTGATAATACATTTAGGGTTCCTCAGCTCCAGATGCCCTTGGAATTTCTAGAAAAGTGTGGTCAGGATGAGGTTAGCCTTTGGTGATGCTTATGGGCAAACAGGACTGGCTTCCAATGTAGGGAAAGGTCAGAGGTGTTCTACCCTTCCTAAAGGTTTTGCAGAGAGAGTTGGAGGGTAAATCTATGACAGAAACTGCAGAGGGATTAGTCGACTGTTCTGGTTACCTAGTGCAAATCCTGAGCACCATTAGGATCAAGGGATTAACCTGGCAACTGTTATGTAACTCTTTCTGAGAAGGCTTCTTTCATACAACGCATCAAACTCAGACATGAACATTGTCTAAGCCTAGAGGTGTAACTTCAAAATTATGTAAACATGTAGAAGAAACCTGCGAGAAAAAAGGGGATGTATCATCAGGGGAATATGGATGTCACGTGTGATTTTTAGTCTTTGGGGTTGCTATTAGGGGTGTCAAAGGAATTCAAGGAAAGCTTCTTAAGACAGAATTTTAAGACCAGAAGTAAGTTAACAGTTGGGGTGTTGGAAGGAAGCAGAGGATTACCCAGCAAGGGCGAAAGACAATTGCCCCTCTGGTGTATGGCAAGGGCTCTTCAGTGGTTGGCCCAGAGGAAGGAGGTGCAGAGTCCGGGTGAGCAAGTGTCATAACCATAGATTTGTTTGCATGGCTTTCTTTTCTCTCACAAGGTCTAGCATATGTTTGCTCTTTTTTTAACACTTTGTACCACTCTACTTATATTGTCTTCCTAAAATTTTCCCATAACCCTAAAAGGAAGGTATGATTTGATTCATTTTATAGATGGAATAAGACCCACAGAGGATTATGAAATTTATCCTAAGTCACATAGCCAATTCTGTGGAGTAGGAACTTAAAACTATATCAATTTGATTCTAAAGAGTGTACTCTCTACCATGTTACCATCAAAGGGCAATTTGACCAATGAGGGTCACTTTAGGCCCTTACATTATAGAACTCTGGATCCAAAATAATTGGATCTTATTAGGGCTGCCAGATAAAATGGAGGATGCCAGTTAAATTTGAGTTCCAGAGAAAAATGACTTTCTAAAGTATAAATATGTACCATGAAACAGCTGAGATATGGTTTACTAAAAAATGTTATTTCTTTGAAATTCAAATTTAACTGGGTGCCTTGTATTTTTTTATTTTTTATTTTTTTGCTGAATCTGGCAATTCTGACCCTAATAGGTTCTTCAGATGACAGAAAAGAAACTTTTGATTTCTTCTACCTTGAAAATCCTGGGCAGTTCAAAAACCTTGATCTGAGATCTGCCCTCTGTGACTGGCAGAGCTGGGATGTGTCAGTTACTGGTGGTCCACTCTGAGCACAGCGCTGATCTTGGCCGCTCACCAGCGATTCCCAGGGTCCCAACCACACTTGGGACAAGCACAAAGTTTGCCTGTCGACCAGGGGTAGAGAGGGCCCACAGAATGGGAACTGAATTTAGTGAGCAGAGGAACCGGCAGTGCATTTCCTAAAGCCTGAAAGCTAATGAGTTCTTTGTGCTCTGATGGAGAAGTTAAAGGGTCAGGACCTCATGACTTAAGGTTTACGGTATTTGTTCAGTTTCTTTCTTTTTCGTTTTTTTTCGGTTTTTTTTCTTTTTTTTCTTTTCTTGAGATGGAGTCTCGCCGCATCGCCCAGGCTGGAGTGCAGTGGTGCGATCTCGGCTCACTGCAAGCTCCGTCTCCCGGGTTCACGCCATTCTCCTGCCTCAGCCTCCCGAGTAGCTGGGACTACAGGCGCCCGCAACCACACCCGGCTAATTTTTTGTGTTTTTAGTAGAGACAGGTTTTCACCATGTTAGCCAGGATGGTCTCGATCTCCTGACCTCGTGATCTGCCCGCCTCGGCCTCCCAAAGTCCTGGGATTACAGGTGTGAACCACTGCGCCTGGCCTGTTGAATTTCTAGATTAATTTATTAACTCATTTGACAAATATAATATATATGGCATAATTACTATACACCATGCACTGTTGTAGGTTCTGGGACTGGAAGGGCAGCCTCATGAAGCTAGTCCAGTAGGGGACAGCAGAAGGAATCACAGCATGAGCAGGTGGTCCAGGGTCCTGGCCAATCTCACCATCCCTGCTACTGGCAAGGATAATAATTTAGTAATAATCAGAATTTAAGAGGAAAATCTTGGAGGTTAGGATTGCAACCCAACTTTGAAAGAAATAAGAAAACAGTGTGAACTGGAAGTTATAGAATATGAGGTTTGAGGGATATGCAGTGTGGCCAGTAAAGACAGTCACTGTTAGCATGAGCCAAAGACCATCAGGGAGGTCTGCAGTTAACAATATTAACGTAGGCTGGTGTGATGAGTCATGCCTGTAAACCTAGCACTTCGGGAGGCTGAGGCGGGAGGATCAGTTGAGCCCAGGAGTTTGAGGCTATAGTGAGCTATGATTGCAATTGCACCACTGCACTACAACCTGGCTGATGGAGCAAGAACTTGTCTCTTTAAAAAAATAAATAAATAAATAAAAATAAAAATTAGCATAAATCTGTAATGGGTGAAATAAGGAATCTTATGGAGACAAAGCCCACACATACCAGATTTTATGGAAGAGATGGGCTCAGGATAAGAGGTGAAAGCAATGTGGATTTCTTTGGGGCTTTTCGGGATCTTCCTTCCAAGGGCAAGTTTTGTTAACTCTTATGAAAGAAAAGAAGAAAGAAAATAATGTCATCCAAAATGACACATTAATTGTTTAAATTTATCTTTTTCAATAATTTTCTTTGATTTGTATTTGAAGAATGGCAATGCACATTTCTGTAGTCAAATTAAAGTCTGAGAACAACATATTGGATAGGTCCATGGTGTGGATAGAAGAAAGCATCAAAGATTCGTGAGCAATGGGGGCTGAAGAACCTTATGTCTGGATGTAGAGTTGAAGCACAAATATATTACTTAATCATCCTTCATTAACTTCTCTATGTGTGTGTGTTTTAAGATGTGTTGAATGTATTCATGAGTGTTGGTATCCCTGCTCCAGAGGTCCTCCTGTCCAGACAACTACATTGTCATCTCCCAGAACTAGAGAAAAGCTTCTGGTTCATGTGAGGATTAAACAAAATAATCTTATCTTAGACTATAAGGACTTGAAGGACTATAAAAAAAACAGAGGCCATAAAAAATGCTCAATAAACATTTAGAGTCAGGTTATTTTAGAGCTGGATGGAAATGTAAAACTTAAAGAAATAGCAGGTGCTATAAAAGACTGTAGATATCACTGAGTCCATTTTCCTCTCTTTATAACGGGTAGAACTGGTAGTCATAGAGAAGTACAGCATCATAATAAATTCACATAGAACACTTGTGGCGAAACTATTTTATTTATTTATTTTAATTTTTTTTATACCTAATGTGAAGCTTTAATTTTTTAATTTAATTTATTTATTTTTAAATTTTTTTCAGTGGCAGATCTATGGGAACAGCATATCCACCTAGATTTTTGAGTTTTAAAATGTATCAATTGTCTCTTTACGCAACTGATAGATTGTGTAAGTAATATAGCAGAGTGTAAGTTTACATTCCTTTACATTAAGTGGCTGCATTGATTTATACTCTGTTTTCTTAAAGATCCGTTTTAAAACTGACAACTTCTCCCCTTTTGTATCAACACAAAATACTGAGCTTTCTTATTGAAGTACTTTTCTTCTCCAGCCTAAAATAAAGATCTAATAACCAATGGTCCCCATGACTTGAAAGATCTTCTTTTTTTATCTTTCACTGTCTAAGGAGGCTGAAAGGGAAACACTAGCTGCCTGGGGGCTGTTAAAATGAGTGACAACACTGCTCTGGCTGCTCCAGCTTCAAACCAGGGTCCTACCACCCCACGCAAAGGCCCTCCCAAGTTCAAGCAGAGACAGACTCGCCAATTCAAGAGTAAACCTCCAAAGAAAGGTGTGAAAGGGTAAGACCAAAATGAAAAGAAAAACTTTCTATTACTTTCTTTCTTCCCACATGACGGCTTTTGTTTTGAGAAATTAGTGCTCACAATATTAAACAGACTTACAAAAATGCCCATCCCATCTTCTCTTTTCCTCTCTAACTCCATCTTTGATGAATTGTGTCTTTATCCCTGGAATTCTTTCCTTCGCGACTTCCAGGTCTGTGGCCGAATTTAACATGGCAAATGGAGGCTTTTTACAGTAAACTTTGACTTTGCCTTCCAGGCGTTTTATGACCACTCCTCTTTACTGACATAACCTCTGCTTTAATCTGTAACACTGAACCACTGACCATTTCCAGAAAATATAGCTTATATTTATGTCTCCCCATTTTATATCCTTAGTTCTTTATTTTCCTCTTCCTCTCCTTGGCTAAATCCTATTCATTTTTCAACACACAGCTCATGTGCTAATTTCTTTTTGAAGCTACCACTGACCCTCTTTAACAAGCTATCATTACTTTCATGTTTGCATTTTGTACATGCAGCTGTCATAGCTTACATTATCGTATCTTATATTTATTTATTCGTGTCTATTCTCCGAGACTAAGACCACTCAGAAAATTTGTCTGTTTTTTTCTTAACTCTCTGTGCCTAACAAAATGCCTGGTATATAATGGATGCTTAGTTAATGATTTTGAATAAGTAAACAAATTGATGAATTTATCATTTTTAATGCCTCTTGTATTGCTTTCTCGTTTCAATTTTTATTATAAAAAGTGAAATTTGACTAAGTTGTCCCACTGATAGTTCTTTCTGACTCTTAATTGTTTTAGCGTAAGTTCCTACAGAAGAGAAATATCTCTCCACTAGGATATACCAAAACCTGCCTGAGTGACATTTTCTTTGCTCCAGTTCGGTGCAAACAAAAGGAGTCTCTCAAATAAAAACATTTAAACCTCTCCTTCTTCCCCTTTGAATCAAGAAACTCACCATGTGAGTGACTCCAAAATTCTTCTGCTCTAATCTCAGCTAATTTCCCCTGTATTCTTTTCCATAGATTTGGAGATGACATTCCAGGAATGGAGGGGCTAGGAACAGGTAAGCCATCCACTGATTTAAGTGAGAAATTTGCACTTGGAGTTCTGCCTTTTTATATGCTACAGGCCTCCAGGGGCAGTTGAAAGTTATGAGAAATACCCAAGGCAGAAGATCTGTTGAAGACATAGAAATGTGGGGATTTAATTTACCCTCCGAAATAAGTACATGTGTGCCCAGATACAAAAGCCCTAAAAGAAATCAGGGTAGGCCCAAAATTTCATAAACCTTCTTGTTTTGTCGAACAACCTTTGAGGGCATACAATGATAAATTACAGGCGTTTATGGTAGAAAGATTCTCATAACTCATCTAACCAAACTTCATTTTTCAGGAGAGAAATCTGAGACATAGAGGAATTGACAGTCTTTTGTCTGAGGCTACCAAGTGAACTATTGGAAATAAGGGTGAAGTCTGGAGATCTCTTCACTCTACCAGGCAGACCACTTCCTTACCAATTTCCTCTTTTTACACATCCTCTAGCACCCAGAGGAGGATCTTAAATACTGAATGCCTGCAATGTATTTTTAAAAATTGGCTACCAGATTTTTATGTATCATACGATGAATGCAATCACTGCTTTTTTTTTTTTTTTTTTACGGAGTCTCGCTCTGTCGCCTAGGCTGGACTGCAGTGGCCAGATCTCAGCTCACTGCAAGCTCCGCCTCCCGGGTTCACACCATTCTCCTGCCTCAGCCTCCCGAGTAGCTGAGACTACAGGCGCCCGCCACCTCGCCTGGCTAATTTTTTGTATTTTTTAGTAGAGACGGGGTTTCACCGTGTTAGCCAGGATAGTCTTGATCTCCTGACCTCGTGATCTGCCCGTCTCGGCCTCCCAAAGTGCTGGGATTACAGGCGTGAGCCACCGTGCCCTGCCATATTTTTTTAAATTAATAGACTTTATTTCTTAGAGGAGTTTAAGATTTACAGAAAAATTCATCAGAAAGTACAGATTCTATATGTCCTGTCTACCACCTCTCTCCTCTTTTACAGTTTCCTTTATTATTAACATCTTGTATTAGTGTGATTAGATTTGATGAGCCAATATTGATGCAGTATGTTAATTAAAATCCATAGCTTGTATTAGGGTTTTTATCCTTTGTGTTGTAAAGTTCTAAGGGTTTTGATAAATACCATGTACCCACCATTATAGTACATTCTGTAGTACCTATATTATTATACAGAATAGTTTTGCTGCCCTATGCTTCACCTGGTCACCCTTCTCTCTCTCTCTCTAAACCCCTGACATCCACTAATCTTCTTACTGTCTGTATAGTTTTGCCTTTTCCAGAATGTGATATAGTTCAAATCACACAGTATATAGCTTTTCTGGACTAGCTTCTTTCATTTAACAATATTCATTTAAGGTTTCTCCATGTTTTTATATGGCTTGATAGCTCAGTTTTTTAAATCATGGAATAATACTCCATTGTAGAGATAAACACAGTTTTTTATCCTATTGAAAGATACCTTGGTTGCTTCCAAGTTTTGCCAACAATGGATAAAATGGCCCTAAATATTTATGTGCAGGCTTTTGTCTGGACATATTTTCAACTCATCCAACACACCTTTGATAAATGGTAGCATTTGTAGTAATCAGTGTCCTTCCCAGGCAATCCTCAGTGTATCTTTCTGCAGCCAAATACCAATCCTGGGATCTCGAATAAATTTTCCAGCCACATTATAAAGCAATTTTGCTATTCTCCTAGATCAACTGCTTCTGTATTTTGGCAAGGTGCATGCAAGACCAGCAAATTTGCTTTGGGATCTGGAAGATGTGCTTGACTCTAACAGTATATTTGGAATAATGTAATGAGGTTTATACTGAGCGAAGGTCTGAGGTCTTTGACCTGGTTCTGGTCTCAGCTCTACAACTATGTGGTTTTTGCTAATTATTTCATCTCTCTGGGTGTCAGCAAGCTTCTTTGTAACTGAAGGATAATAATATCTTATTTTCTAAAACAAGAAGCTGGATTAAAAGATGCCTTGTGATCATTTTTCAATATGTGATTGGATATAGGCAATTCAAAATGTAAAGGAATAGAAGAATAATTAGAGAAGAAACTGATCTAGATTGGTAGGGAAGACTATGGATACCTAGACCATGGAGATTCAAAGTGTTCCTCTTTTTCATCTTAACCCTTGGCCTGACTAGAATTCCACTTTTGCTTCCTCCTTAGTGGTTGTGGTTTGGGGAGACTCTGTGTGATCAGTGGGCTGTACCCCCCCAGGGAACCCCTCAGTCAAAAGCTGTGGGTCGCCACCCCACTCAAAGAGGAAGCAGAATGAAACCAACAGAGATGCCTGGTGCAACAATTAAGCAATTGGTCTGATCCTTCTAGGCTGCAGGACCACTCTAGGTAACTTCCCAGTCAGGGGATAATGAGCAGGAGAGAGGAGTGAAGTGTCTCTGCCTGAAGGGCATCTTTCTATGAAGAGACTTTTTCTGGGGTGAGGTTGGCTTACATACTCTTCCGTCTCTTGCAGATATCACAGTGATTTGTCCGTGGGAGGCATTCAGCCACCTGGAATTGCACGAGCTCGCTCAGTTTGGGATTATTTGAGGTGCCAGAGGTTCTGCCACTCTCAATGACATCTGCTGTAATTTTGGTTACTTTTGCCCTGATGATCTGCCGGAGTCTTGAAATTCAGCTGATTGGAAGTGGTTTTGTTGACTTTCGAGGTCATTTCCTATCAGTTACTACTAAGAATTCTCTTACTGTCAGAATCTGTCTTGCAGTACAGTTCAAAATAGTGGATGCATTTCACACTTAACCACCTTTTCCTACCAGCTAGTTAGAAGTCATCAATATTTCTCTACATTTTGTTTATGTGTAAGCCCTTTACATCTATTTTTGCTAGGCATTCACTATGATTAATAGGAGACTTTTAAGATAACATTTATGTCACTCCCCACCTCCTCTTATTTAATAAACGAGATATTTACCTTGAATGTTGCTGAAGTTGTATTAAATGCTACATGGAAATATCTGATGCTGTGTTCTGAGAACCAATTAGACAAAGAAGGCACAGTCATAAAGGAAATAAGTGCAGTGGTTACAAAACAGCATAGGATGAAGATTTGAATTCTGTAAGTTCGTAAATTGTATACTTTCTGGGTCTAAATTTGATTGAACTAGGTTATTCCAGAAGTCTCATGCAGCTCTAAGTTGTACAGTTCTAAGTTGGCAAGGAACTGGGATTTAAACTCGGAATTCTGACAATGTGAACCTTCTTTTTGGTACTCTGGTTGAGGAAGGTTTCCTTCCACAGCATTCCCTCAATGAAATTATTTTGTCCCATGGCTTAAAGTGGGAGTCACGGGAGTTACATACATTGACTGCTTTGTGCACATCTGTGGTAAATATAACCTTTAAACTGTCAACTGAAAAGATTTATATGCTATAAGGTTTAGACTCATATACAAAGGATAGGCAGTTGACCCTCTAAATAAAATGATGGTTTGCCTCACCCCTGAAGTTGTGTCAATGTAATGTGCTCATACTTATCTTTTCCCAATACTTTCAAGGCAATTGTGCAACTCAAATGCGGCCTCTATGTGACTTGGATGCTTTGGAACTAACAGTATGAATTTCTTCATTTCAGTTTTGAAATCTGTGGTAAAAGAATGGAGTAAATTAACCGAAGAGAGAGACAGGATGATAGAAAAGCAAGAGATTCAGGTTCTAATCCTGTCTCTACCAGTAAATTGCAATATGATTTTGGGCAAAGATCTCACCCTTTTCACCTTCAAGTTTTCCTGAATCAGATAATCTAAGGTTCATGGTAGTGATAAATTCTGTGACTTTGTGGTCTTAGAGGAGTGCAGCACTCAAAAACTTGTGACTGCTACAGGGCCTGTGTTAACCATTTTGCACGAATGATCAGGTTACCTTCTGGCCAGAAAATTAGAAGTACAAGAGAAAAACTGAGGTATAGAGTCAAAAGTGGAACCATGACGTGCCAAGAGGCCCAGTGGAAATGTGCGCTTCCTCCTTCAGCAGGAACTCCTGCCTCCACCCAGGCACCTGTATTCTCTCCTGCCAAAGCTAACCCTTGCCTTTCAAGTCAGCCGCTCCATTTGACAGCCAGTGCCTTTGGTTCATCCCAATTAGGGAGGACTGGCTTCTTCTCCAGCTGGGTGAGACTCTGGTTCACATTTGGCTTACTTTTCAAATATTTCTTTAAAAATGAAGCAATGACATTGACAAAACAGAATGCACTCAAAAGAATGTATTCAAAGGCTACATAAAGAAGGATCTAGAAACTACGCTACATGAAGAATTGTTGAAGGAACTGAAAACATTTAGCTGAGAAAAGAAAACATTCATTGCCAGCAAATATTTGAGAAGTTGTAATGGTCCACAGCTGTAACAACCTGAATATACCAGATCTTTTTAAAAAGTAATGGTGAAGGCTGGGCGTGGTGGCTCACGCCTGTAATCCCAGCACTTTGGGAGGCTGAGGCGGGCAGATCACGAGGTCAGGAGATCGAGACCACCCTGGCCAACATAGTGAAAACCCGCCTCTACTAAAAATACAAAAAAAAAAAAAAAAAAAAAAAAAATCAGCTGGGTGTGGTGGCGTGCTCCTGTAGTCCCAGCTACTCGGGAGGCTGAGGCAAGAGAATCCCTTGAACTGGGGAGGCAGAGGTTGCAGTGAGCCGAGATTGTGCCACAGCACTCCAGCCTGGTGACAGAGCGAGACCCCATCTAAAAAAAAAAAAAAAAGAAAAGAAAAGTAATGATGAAGCAGGAAGAAGCAAACTTCTTTCATGCCAGGGTCTAGCATTTGGGGGTAAGCTGGAGTAGACATAATTTAAAGCCCTTCCAATATCTAGAATCCTATTATTTCTATTCATATCATTTTATTATTTTAAATAAGAAATAAGAAGCCCCTCAGTGTATAGACAACACATATGAAAGAGATTAAGTCATTGTCCTCATCTGAGTCCTGGCAACAAAGAGATGACAACCCCAAACGGGGTAATTGTGGAAAGGTTTAACAAAGGGACTATTTACACAGGCTTGGGAAGAGTTAGTGGCAATCTACAAAGGCTAGTACAGTAACTTGGGGCTAGCAACAGCATGGGGGCCATTGCCAAACCTGGACCTGAAGCAACCTTGAAATAACACTTCTAATAATAAAGGAGGGGCCCTTGACAAGGCTGTGGGATGCAGCAGAGGGACATAGTTAACATACAGTGATCCTTTAAGTAATCAGGAGGTAAAGGGGTTGTTCCTCCTTCCAATGTTGTCCTTCTCCCCTTCTCTACTTCCCTGTTGATGCCTCCCCTTGGTTAAACCCAACTGGAAATCAGAGGGCAAAGAATCTCTTTAATGCAGTCATTAAAGTTCACCTTCTCCAGTAACACGTAGACACAGGGAGGTGAACAACTCACACTGGGCCTTCTAAGTGGGGCAGGGGGACAGAGAGCATCAGATAAACAGCTAATGCATGTGGGGCTTAATATCTAGGTGATGGGTTGATGGGTGCAGTGAACCACAATGGCACACGTTTACCTGTTACCATTTACCTGCACATCCTGCACATGTATCCTGGAACTTAAAATATAAAATAAAATAAAATTTTAAAAAAGTTCACCTTCTTCAGCAAAGAGCAAGTGGAGAGGGTTGGAGAGTGGGTGTGAAGGGGCAAAAATATATATATATTTCCATTATAGCAACAGTATTGAAGAGCAGATAGTATTTGTCAGCCGGTGGTTTTTAGTTGGAGTTGGGAAAGAGCATGCATAGGTCTAAAGCCTACACAGCTGATTCTGATGCAAAATGCTGGAGTGGAGGAAGAGCCGTGTTAAATAGGAAGAACCCAATAGGCAAAAGAGAACAATAGCAGAAATAATTTATCATACAGTTTAAGGGTTTGGGGAATTAAAAAAAATCTTCAGACATTTTTCTGACAATAAGAAACACTGAGGGTCTCTTGTCAAAAGCACATAAAATTTGGGCCTCACTCCAGATTTTCTGAGTAAGAATTTCCAAGGGAGAGATATTGAAATCTGTATTTTTAAATAAGGGCTCTAGGTTATTCTATTTGGGCCAGTTCAAAAACTCTGATGTAATCCAAGCCTACCTTTTACACATTAGGAACTAGCTAATTCTTAACTTGTTACCACCCAGTGATCCAGTGACCAATTTAACCCATTCTTCTTGCCCCCAATACCACATGTAATAAGTGGGAGAACAAAGGCTAATATGTATGTGTTCTGACTCTCACATGGTTTTGTTGGCTGATAAAATAGATGTGCCTCACTACTCCAGCCCTAAGCCAGAGGATGTCAGAGAGCTCAGGAGACAAGGGTTGGACTGAAGCAATTCCAGTAAGATAGAGCTGGACAAGTACCACAATTATGACCACTACCTCACACAACCACCACCGCTCCATAGCCTGTGTCACACCCCTGGCCTCTGCTGCCTCCTCTAACTGGAGTAGGAGGAAGCCAGGGAGGGTGAGAGGCGGGTGGAGGCAGGAGCTGGCTAATCCTCTTCCCTGTTTGTTTCAGCATTGGGTAGAAGTTGAGATTAATGGTGCAGGTGAGCTAGGCACTGACTCCCGTTCTCCACAGACCTCAGTCACACTACAGCCAGACAGAAAAAGCAGTGCATAAGGAGAAAACGTTCCTCCTGAGTCTCCACCCTAGCTGAATAGGCACAGTGATCCAAACAATTGCCACTGTGCAGTTCACCCGTGCTGTGAGAAAGCAAAAATTATCATAAACGATTTCATAAAACAAAGGAGGAGGAGTTTCTCAACAACTAAAGAAGTGGAGGGAAAACACACGCACAGAGGAATAATCAGTTACACCAATATTTAGCACAAGAGAAAAAAGTGATCACACAAGATCGAGCGCTATAAAACTAATATAATGAGAACTGTGTAAGTATGACACTGAATTGTTTTAAAGGGGAAAATGGAAAGGAACTATGTTTTATAAAAGGCTAGAGGGAGATGCTTGTACAGGCCACACAATTGTGAATATGTATAAACTAGCACGATGCTTTTTGCAATATGAGGGCAGAGTCAGATTGATGAAAACTGAAATTCAAAAAAAAAGCAACAATCAAGTTGATTGGCAACATCAGTCACACTATCTTTTTTTGGGCAAAAACAATTGAGAAGCCTGGGTTCTGCCTGGATCTGCTACAAAATACCTGCTAGATAGTCAGCTAATTCACTTTTCTTCTTTGGACTCAAATATTTGAGAATAAAACAGGATCTTGGACATAATGATTGCCAAGTTTCTTTCAGCAAAAAATTCCAAAAAACAAGTAATACATCTAAATATATTTCAACTGTTCCCTTTAGACCAGAAGACCTAAAGTACAGAGCCTCAGTTTCCAATTATTTCCAGAGTGCTTGTTTAATCCTTTTTTTTTCCTCCACATTTCTGCAGGGGCCAGTAATAAAATCAAATCGTGTATTAGTACTGCCACCTGCTGCAGCAAATAAGCACTTCAACACTTGGATGACAACCATTTCTATTCGACTTTTCAATCCACATAGTAGTTCTGAATTTCTTCCCATCCATTGACTGACCAATTTAAACTGTTGCATTGCTTGGCCAAGGAAAAGTAATCCATACAGAGGATAAACACTAAAAGGGTATAAAAGTGAACACAGTACAAGATCAGTCTTGTTTCCACCCAGTGCCCTACATCCCTCTCTCATTCTCAGTCAACCCCTGTTATATTTTTTGTGAATCCTACCAGAGACATTCTGTGCAGACACACTTATATGTATACACTTTTTCTGCACAGTAGTAACACACTATATTTGCTATTCTATACTATTTTTGACTTGTTTTTCTTGAAGATAACTCTATGTCTGTACATTTTGATATACCTCATTTTTTTTAAGTATCTGCATGTTTCATTTGTATAATTGAGGTCTAATTCATTTGTCCAGTGTCATATTGATGGACGTTTTGGATAA